CAACTCATTCATTAATTTATTCAATAAATATGACTGCACTCCTACTATGTGCTGGGGGCTGGTTATCACTGATGATTTAAAAGGGGCTTACACCTTGGAACTTGACAGTCTTAGAAGGGGTTACAGCTCTGTTAATGGCCAAAATAAGCAAAAAATCTAGTTAAATAATCTTTAGATAATTAAGAGTCAAGAGTAGAAAATACAGTTTTGTATTGTGATGCTACTGGAATATTTTTTATTTCTCTTATTTAAAAAAAGTTTCCTTTATAAACCCACAAATAACCTGATGTGCCAAAAATTTCATTTCTAAAAATCTCATTAATAAATATGATTTGTGATATGTATCTCTGTGTTGCCAGTTTCACTGATATAAAATGTCAGGAGGTGAGCTGATTTAGATTATTGTCAATTAGTAAAGAAGATTGTTCCATAAAAGCATTTTATTCTGTTTCATATCCATTAATAAACGCTTTTTAAAAAAATCTCTCCTAGATGGGACACATATCCAGTATAATATGGTATCGACTCCATATCATTTTAGTTTACTCTATACCACTTTAGACTATAAAAACCAGATGCAAACAGCAGATTTCAATTAAGGCTGAAAAATCATCTCATTCATAACCTGGGGATTATAGTATTTTGAAAGACTACATTCTAGTCATTAATAGAGTTATACATAGACACATAGATCACATTTCAAATAATCTACATATTATAGGATCTATTACAATTATTGTTATACTATTTCACTTGTTTTTAGTGATTTAAAAGGCCTTAGGGTCATCCTTATGGTTTTTAATTATCCTAAATGTACCACTTAATGGGGAGGTGTACTTTTAAAAGGCTAGACAGAAGAGTGCACTCTACACCCTTGTGATGCTGGAGGTCTCTGCTCACAATAATTAATCCTTAGCACAAGAAAAGATTTACTGAGCACTTACTACATGCAGGTTTCTGTGTTAGTCACTCGGTTCTCTACATGGTCTAGGATCTCTAGCCTGAAACAGGAGCCAATTAACATTGCGTGTCTAATAGAAGATCTACTAATAATCTTTTAGTCCTAAATAAGTAGAGATATACATGCATTTATATATTAATGATAAGTTTATAACAAGGTGTTTAAAAGGTATCACTGGAACATTTTATGCTAATTTTATGGTATCATCTATATCTTACCAATTGAGAAAACCAATTTCTGCTCATATTCGATCTATTTCAATAGACTGATATGTGACCCTGAAACCTGCTGAGGTAAATGGGTAAGATTTGGTTTTAAGTGATAGTCTAGCCAAGAATAAATAAATAAATGGTAAACATCTTTGTTTTCTAAGCTTCCTTTTTCTATCATACCATTTAATAAAGGACTTTATAAGAATTTTCTGAGTTCTATCAAAGAATTTCTAGCACCAATCCCCAACTCACAAAAATTAATTATGGAGAACGGTGTGCTGATTGGCGGGGGATGTGGGTAGAGGTGGAAGAGGGTGTAAGGGGGATACGTGGTAATGGAAAAAAAATACAATAAAAACAAAAAATAAAGTCAAAACAAATAAATATATAAAAGGCATCATAATAAACATAATGAACATTACTTTACAGCAGTTATTTTGTTAACTAAATGCGACGAACTCTGAGGGTCTTTTATGAACCAGGAACTGTTCCTGCCACTGAGTGTACAAAAAATAAGAAGCTTCAAGACCAGTGGAGAAATAAACACTTAAACCAATAAGCAATGACGGTACAACTGGCAGAAGTGTGTGCAGAAAGGAGAGACTGCCAGCCTAGCTAGGGGAGGTGAGGAGCTGGGCAGGGTCACTACCAGAAGGCACCAGGCAAGGTCATCAGAAGGAGATCATGGTGATGATGCCTGGGCAGAGTCTTGAAAGATGAGTAGGCATAACCAGGTAAACAATGGGGTGGAAATTTCAGTAGGCATAGAAGTATGAAATAGTATATTTATTGGACTGTAGGAAATTTTCTAAAATTACATTCACCCAGGACTCCATGGCCTTTCTGTGGCTTCTGTTCCTTTGAACTTCACCATTTCATCCTTCACCTGCTCATAATGGAGGGCTAGTGAGCTCCACCATTCAGAAGCTGTCTGTGTAAATCCCAACCACCCAGAGCATAGGAAGGGATCTTGACGTGGAAAATGGCTTCCACAAAAGCAACGTGGTAAAAAGCAGAAGTTGACATTAGGAAGGAGACAAGGCTGCACAACAACCTGGGAATATTTGGTGTAGGGCCATTCCGCTCTGTACCCTCAAAACCCCCGTGAGAGCAACAGAACAACACATCATCTGGTGGTCGCAATAGTGACGCAGGGCCACCAGGATACAGTGATCTCTTGTGTCCCTGTTTATAAAGCCGGGGGGGCTACACAATAACACACTCAGAAAGATCTCTATCCAATAATGTTTAAATAGAAAGGTTTTATATTAAACGAAAAACATGCTAAGACCTGTGAAATCCATATTTGTGAACAATCTCATTTCTCAACCATGCCAGATAGAAGGGATATTATTACAGCACAAGTAACAAAATTTAGCAACACAAAGAGTCTTTGGATAGAAAATATTTAGGATCACAGGTTGTGAGAAAAAATTCATAGCTTCTGATTTATTATTATATGCATTAACTCTTTGTATTTCTACATGATGATTTCTATTTCAAAAAGCTTATTTCACCTGACATTTTCACACATAGAAAGTCTCAATAAATGTCTGTTGAATGAAAAGATGAATGAATTTTAAAAGATTTTATATGCTAAAGGAATGACTGACTATATGGCTTCACATTTCACAATTAAACTGTAGCACATTCATTTGGCCAACAAATTAGGCAAAAAAAAAAAGGTATTCCATAAAGTATTCCACTTTCTCACATTGTGAAGAAATGGAAGATATCCAACATTGGTCAAATTTCTATGCTAGATTGAAACCAAAATATAAAAATAATATAAAAATACTTTATTTGAAATATCAAACACATAAGTCATATTAATCAATCTTGGATGGCTATAAATGAACAAGATATTTTACTACATAAAATACTCTGTCCTCAAGCACCTGATGTTAGAATAGCCCAATTCACATCATTAACTTTGTTAAATTTTTATTTTTTGATTTAAGTGCTGAAGTTTTTGCATTAAGCTTACTATATACCATCCATCTCCAAGGACCTATGAATTTCATCATCTAAACTCACAACTGATCACTGATCTACATTCTATATTGTATCCCTTTCCATATACAGTCTGTACATTTTGAATTAAATTCTACATATATTTTTATTCCTACCTTATTCAGACCATCTTCACCCAGTCTTGCCTAAAAATCTTTGACATTAATATCCTAAATTATGCTATTTATTTAATAATTTCTTTATGTCACATTATGACATTAATATCCTAAATTATGCTATGTATTTAATAATTTCTTTATGTCACATTCAATAAATGAATTTGGTAGTATTAATATGTACAGGGAAATGCTCCAGTTTCCATGGATTTACACTCTGCTATGTTATTCTTGAAAAGTAAAATGGTTAAGACTAGGAAAAAATAGTGTTGGAGTACTCATTTGTAATTTAACTAAAACAAATTCAGCAATTCACTTATAATAAACCGGGAAAGTTTTTAAAATTATTTTTCATAGTGTACAGCAACTTAATTTTTTCCTGTCCTTGGACAGTGAAACCTTTACATGTTAAAAATTACACTCCATAAGCCATTTTTAAAATACTCAAAGTGCCAATTTTTTAGTTATTTCAAAGACCCTGATAATTTAAAATTTCAAAAGCATAGGGTTTTTCATACAGCACTTGAAGCATTATTTAATAATGGCCATTTTAAAATTTCTTTGCACACACCAAATACATAATGTTCATTGACTTTTATTTGGCATTCTAGAGAAAAAAATGTGTACCTGGGCCAAGGCAGTTAGAAACGTTGTCAGCATATCCACATACAAACTGAGGATTTAGGACCACACTATTGCACTCCAGTTTATTGTGAAACAAGAACTTTATCATATTTATTCTCATGTCCCAAAGTATTTACTCTAATAACTTCATATATTCTAGACCTAAAGTTGCCAAAGACCAAATTTTACTGGCAATAAGAGGACCTTTGATTTTTATGAAGAAAATATCCATGCCACTCATAATGTTTATCAAATTAACATTTTAATTAGGTGTTATTATCTCATTTATTCATTGATGAATACTGATTTTTTTCTCATAAATTCTGATTTTCTAAATATCACCACCTCCCCCAACTTGAGATACATCTGCCATTTTCAAAGTTTTAGAAGCACTTGTTGGAAAGACTGTTGAAGAGTTTACAATAGTACTGTGAAAACTTAGTTATCGCAAGGAAGTCCATACTAATATTATTTTAAGAAGCGAAGATAATTTTATAACTTTCAAAATTAATTCAAGTGAAACTCAATGTGAGCCTGAGTTTTGCTTTGCGTAGAGAAGGATCATCAGAAGTTCGATTTCCAAGGGACCAGCAAGTGCCAGCCACTTTAACGTGTACTTTTCCCATATGACAGCGGTCATTCTTAGAAGAAAAAAAAGACACCCTTCTTCCTAAACAACTTACTTAGATTAGCCTAATTCCAATGGACATTTAGGCTATAGATGGGGAGGGAAAAAATCCAAAAGGATTATTTATTCCAAACCAGGTTTGCTGCCTTTTCAGGGCCGCCCCATTGATACTTTTCCTTTGTAGACTTAGAATTGACCCTCCTGTTTGGCACCCCCTAAGAGGTAAAATTTCAGAGAAGTTACCACTTTCCGAAGTTGGTGGCGGGGAGGCATATGAGAGATGCACGAGAACCGACGCGCTTTGCCCTCTGAAATGCCTCATGTTTACTTTTGCACAAGAAACAAATAGAAGCAAAACCGAGATTCAGAAGGAACTCTCTCTGCTGCATGCCCTGGTCGAGCTTTTCAAAGACCCCTTAGAAAAAGAAGCTGGGCTGGAGGCTCACCTTCCATCTCGCCGCCGGGCTGGGCTGGAGCAGCAGCTCTCGCCACCCCGCCACTCCACGTGCTCCTGCCTTCGCCGGGACACGGCGCGCAGCTGGCGGGAGATTCCCGGCGCGGGGAGTCCCCGGGATCCGCCGCGGCGTCGGCGCAGATCTGAAAGGGCAGGAGCCAGCGACCCGCCGGTGCGCGGGGTTACAGCGGCGCTGGCTGGTGGTGGCTTTAAAAGACGCTCGCCGCCGAGGAGCGCAGGAGGTTCCGCTCCTCCATCCCCTTTTTGAATGTCAAACCGGAGAAGCCTCATGGGATGGAAACAGCGCATCACTCAATTGTCTCAAAAGGTCTATTTTAGAAGGATAGGGATGGCAGCGTGCTATCACATTGGGCGAGGGGCGAGTGCGTCTGGATGGCTTTCTTGCAAGTGTAGCTTCAAAGGGGCTTGTCTTAAATTGGGCAAGATCTGGAACTTTTGGTCCAGATTCAGGGATAACAGCCATAAATATCAATGAGAACGTTTATCAATCATATGACTTGATCAAAGTGCTTGGTCCAAATTTGCAGGAAGTGCTAAGACAGTTCAAAAGGATTTGGGCACTTTTATCTACTCAACTTTTTAACTTTTGGAAGCAATTCTCTCACTTTAGTTTTCCCTTCTAGGAACTGCTTCCCGTAGTTTACTTGCCACCACTCACAAAACACTACACACTCTATGTCTGTGGATTTTCTACTACCCTGCCTTCTGCCAAATGGGACCTGAGACAGCTTACAAAAACACATACATAATCTATCAAAAGAGTAAGTTTAAAAACGTAGAGTTAAGGGTGGTGTTTTGGGGGTGGTGTGGTAAGATAGTAAAATTACCTCAGAGACGTTGGTACACAGAGATGTATCAGTAAACATCTTTTTCCAATACCCTTCCCAATTTGTAAAAGTAAAGCACACATTTGACTGTGGGAGGAGGAAAGAGGAAGTAACCACAGTTTTTCAAAAGCAGCGCTTTCTGCATACTCAAGGCTAAGGGACGTTGTTCAGGTGAGTCCTTATAAAAACACCCAGTGTGTTGAATTGAACATGTGAATGATTCTCAAAAAAGCCACTTCCACCCTTGGTATAAATTTATATTGTTGGTGTATATAAATATATTTGAAACTTAAGGTTGGAGGTTTGTGCATCAGCAGACCATATCAGAAGAAACCCAGCCCTACAAGTTAAAGTATGCTTGTAATTTTTAAAAAATATGTTATTTATTTTTAGAGAGAGAAAGGAGGGAGGAAGAGGAGGAGAAAAATATCAGTGTGTGGTGTCTCTCCAGCACCCCCAACTGGGGACCTGGCCCTCAACCCAGGCATGTGCCCTGACTGGGAATCGAACCAGCCACCCCTTGGTTTGCAGACCAGCAGTCAATCCACTGGGCCACAGGAGTCAGGGCTGTGTGCTTGCAATTTAATGAACTTCAGTTTATTTTAAATATGCCTTGGTATATGAGGTCAACATATATATATACATATGCATATATATGCACATATCTGTGTATGTGTGGGTGGTTTTTTTTTTTTTTTAAGTGAGTGAATGCCTTAGATTGACTTTAAGATCTCAGTACCTTGCAGTATCTCTATTGCTTGCATGGGTTGGATTTCTACAGGATAAGGTCAATTTCAGAGAAATACTCTAAACACCAGGTCTAATTTTAGTATTGAAAGGGGAAATTTGTTGTTTGTTTCTAAAAACAAAAATAGCTCATCAAAAGCAGCAGAAGAGGAACTGTAAAATTTCACAGGGATGGTGTCAGGATGAATAGTTACTTGGTTATTAAAAAGTTATATAAAAAAACACTTTTATCTTCTATGACAATGTTCTTTATACTTAACATTGGAATGTGTCACTACTCCCTAAACAGTTCAGAATCCAGTGTTTCAGACTCCAGAGAGTGACACCTAAGGGGATTGATAAAAAGGAAATGGGTAAAATAACTTCTGTAGCTACTCCACACACCTCACGTGTGGGCTTCAGGTAGTGAGCGACTTCCTTCCAAAAAGGACAGTGTGGACGCGGGCGACTTCACAGCAGAACAAGCCAACAAACACCACCTCAGCCGGGCTACCGAGGCGACATCCACAGTAATAAGGCGCCGTCACAGAATGTGCATCTGGCAGGACGTGATGGCAATGGCATTGCACCTCTGTCGTCTTCCACATGGAAACCCACCACCCCAGAGAGAGACATCAGATTCCAAGGAAGAGGCATTCTGCCAAGTTCCCGGCCAGTTCAGTTCAGTGTCATCAACACTGTCATTCACTGTCAAGGTCATCAAAAACAAGAAATGTCTGAAAAACTGTCAGAGCGGACAGGAACCTATGGACACGTGGTCACTAAACACAGTGTGGGATCCCAGATGGGATCCTGGAGCAGAAAAAATGATGCTGGCTAAAAACAAAGGAAATCAGAGTAAAGGGTGGGCTTTAAAAAAAAGATTTTATTTATTTATTTTTTAGAGAGGTAAGGGAGGGAGAAAGAGAGAGAGAGAGAAACATCAATGTGCGGTTGCTGGGGGTCATGGGCTGCAACCCAGGCATGTGCCCTGCCTGGGAATCGAACCTGCGACACTTTGGTTCCCAGCCCGCGCTCAGTCCACTGAGCTAAGCCAGCCAGGGGAAGGATGGATTTTTAAAAAATAGTAACGCATCAAATATTGGTTCCTTCATTGTGGGAAGTGGACCCCACTGGGATGCTGATCGTAGGAAAAGCCTGGTGGGAGGACACGGGAACTCTCTGTACTGTCTCTGCAATTTTTCTCTAAGTGTAAACCTGCCCTAAAATGGAAAACATGTTTTAGAAGTGGAGGGGCAACAGCCACTCTTCACCGGGCCGGGTCCCTTCTGAGAGTATTCAAATCGATCCCGCGAGATTGACAGGGATGGATGACTTATAACCAGGAAGCTAACAGAACACCGCGTTTCTGACACCCTTTGACTAAAACTGGAAGGAGAAACTTCTAGAAAATCGCAGACAACGCCCGAACGCGCCTTCCTGATCCTCCCTTCAAGAAGGAACCGTGGAGGCCGCGCAGGAGCCCAGACGCGGTAACTGCCATGGGTGGATCTGACTCACTGCATCGCATTTCACGGCTTCTGCTCTGTGGGTAAAATTAACGGTGACTAAAAATGAAATCACTGACGAAGGTGGCTCCCGGACCATCTGAGAGAGTCCAAGCACTGACTCGGCTGGAAGGAAATAAAACTGAAAAAAGAAAAAAAGAAAAAAAAAAGAGAAAGAAAAAAAAAAAAAACCTTCTTGATCTCACCCCAAATAATCATTCTGCACCCTGTCTGAACTTGGGCTCCCTACCCGCCAGCCTACTCAAAACCACGACGGAGGGTGCCCCGCCGCGGCTAAGCGCCAGCCGACACGCATGCCCTTGCAGGCCACCGCACCACCAGCCCGGAAGGAGCCGCGGAAGGTTCTGGCGTGGCCTCGCTCGGAGCTCCCTGACCTTGACCTTCCCATCCCTACATGACAGGCAGAGATGGGGATCTCGCCTTTCCATTGGGCGAGGTTAGTCCTCGTCCCTATACGAGCCTGCGTGCGGGGCCTCACCCGTCTCTGGACAAGAAAAACGCTGTGCACACGCTTTCAGACTGGGTTCACGAGTAAAAAAGAGCCCACGCGGAGCTCTGAGCTTTTTGCAAGGAGGAAGTTCTCACGGGCTCTCCCTGCCCCGGATCTTAATATAATCGCACCCCCGGCCCACTCTACTGCACCGCCACCCTCGGGAGGTCTTCTCTCGACCTCTTCAGGCCCTGGCCTAAAAGCGTGACCGCAGCGCTAAGCCTTGGGTTCTTTTCCTCTCTTTTCTTCCGGCAGGGTGCTCAGAGACCGAAGACACAGAGAGTAGGGGAAAATGGCGCCAGACGGGAGCCGCGAGGCCTCCGCACGACGGCGACCACGTGCGCACGAGGGGGCGGGACGCCGGCCTCTCGCGCTCCCGCCCCAGCCCCCTAGCCCCGCCCCTGGGCGTGACCCCCGGCGGTTTGCTCCCGCTCAGTGGAGCAGACCCGGGGAGGCGTTGGGTGGGGCTGAGATGGGAAGAAGGAACGCTGGCCCTCGACGGTTCCCGCTCCACTAGCCCCTGAGCCGCGATGCGAGCGTGGGTCTTAGTTGCCGCGGTGCTCTGGTACCTCCCCCGAAGTGGGTATCCTCCCGCCCGACCTCCAGGCCTCTCCCTTCTTGCCGGTCCTATGTCCTTCGCTTCGCCCCGCCCTGCCCTACTCTGAGTCCCAGGCTCCTCTTCTGCCTACAATGTCAGTGGTTTCTTTCCTCCACAGCTGGATGGCAGCGTTTTTCCGAAGTCACTAAAAAAGGCTTCGTTTTTGGCAAGACAGCGCACACAGGTACTAAGCACCTCTGCACCCGCACAGTCTTTCGGAAGAGCCGGGGTGCTGTGGTCCTGCTAAGGTTCTTCCCGTGGAGAGAAAGGCAGCGAATGCTTACTGACCATCTACCGTGTGCTCAGCACTAACTGAAGATTGCATCGTTTCATCCTTACAGCCACCCTTCTGCACCTCAGTTGTGATATCACAGCTTGTAGGGAGCGAGGATTCAGTCCAGATCTCTCTCTGATGCCACCACACTTCCAGGGGCCTCTGCTGCTTTGCAACGTGCCAGGCCCACCCAGAGAAATAATTTCCAGGACTGGAAGTTTCTCTGTTTGGAACGCCCCTTTCTCTTCCCTCATTAACTAACTAAAAGAACTCCTACACATCTTTTAAGGTTCAGCTCAAATGCCCTTTATCACTGTAATGAAACTTGCCCACCCTCCCCAAGGAAAATTAGTCACATTGCTAACTTGACATAACTTTGGGCTGGTTCATAGTATTTGTCAGGTTTGGAATTCCTCACTTTTTGGAGCCCTGCCCTTCCCCGCCACCACCAAATTGTTGGACAGTGTCTTCCTTATATGTTCAGAGCATGGCATTCAGTGGGTTTTAACATCAATGTCTTGGGCTGCACTGGTTCCAAGCAGATTATTGTTGCTTCCATCAAATGTGAAACAGAATAAGGTAATTGCAGAGAAACGCCCCAGTATGCCCTATATAGACTTCATTATTGTTCCCAACAGAGGACATTTATGGTGAAATACTAAGTTTCACTTAAGGGTGACAAGGATCATCTTTAAAATAGTTTTCAACCAAGTCCTTTCCTGATCTTTAAGTTGATTTCACTACCCCTTCAAAAAGTTATGATTGCAGTGAGTTCTGAATTTGTACACTGTATTGTGTACATTTTTATAAACAAAACTATATCACAGAAAAAGGAAAAAATTGACTAGTAGTCTAGAGTTTTAAAAACCAGGAGAAGCAAAAAGGACTTGCATTCTAAATGTCATAGTGAGTGATATTTGCTGATTTTTAAAATAGTGAACTCCAAAAAGGAACTTATCTTTTGGGACAAATGGTAGTACGTGCATTTATTAATTTTTCTATATAATGTAGCTGTATATTATTTTATTTTGTTACAGTGAAAGTATATGTAGAATTACATCACCATAGCCCATTCCTTGTCTGTATGGATATAAAACATGCTAGGAAAGAAATAGTGGACCCCACCTACTCATGGATTGGGCCTAATGAAAAGCCATTAAAAGGTAAATCACTTGATTTTAATACCTTCTCTTTTAAACGAAGTGAACATTTTTTTTATCTTCACCTGAGGACACGTTTTCCATTGCTTTTTAAAAGAGAGAGGAAGGAACAGAGGAAGGGAGAAAAAAATATTCATGTGAGGAAGAAGCATCCATTGGTTGAGGAATCAAATCCACAGCCTAGATATGTGCCCTGACTGGGAATTGAACCTGCAACCTTTCAGTGACCAGATGATGCTCCCACCAACAGAACCACACCGGCCAGGGCTGGTGTGAACATTTTTTTAGAAAAGCACTGTTACTTATTGGAATATGCAAATTAAAATTTGATTTTAATCGCAGTTTCACTTGCTCCATACTTAGACAAACCATGTTATATCTTGGTCTGTGCCTTATTTTCTCCTTACATAAAAACTGAAGCAGTAATTTTTGCACCATTCCTCTCAGAGCTCTATTAGTCCAAAAAAAAATTTTGTAAAGCCCTGGCTGGACAGCTCATTTGGTTAGGGCATCGTCCTGATACATCAAGGTTACGGATTCAATCCTCAGTCAGGGCACATACAAGAACCAATCAGTGAATGCATAAATAAGTGGAACAACAAATGGATCTCTCTCTCTCCCTGTTCCTCCTCCTTCCCTTCCTCTCTCTCTCTAAAATCAATCAATATATATTTTAAAAATTTTATAAAACCTAAAATGTATCCTTGTAGCACCTGTAATAGGAGATGAAGTGTCTAATATGTAATTGTTAATGATATTAGAAGTTGGATTATAAACATTAATTTTCTGTTTTATGTGAAGAAATGTTATAGTATTACAGGTCAGTATAATTTTATTTACTGAATTATGGGCATAAACTAATTGAAATTAGATGCAAAGAAATGAGTGAAAGAAAACCAAAATCTATTTTGAAGGTGTACTTTTCTCATGTGATTCTCATATGACAGAATTACAATTTTGTGACATTCTTACAGTGAAAACAGTCCATTAATTTTTAAATTTTTGTATTTATTTGTAACCCCAAGTTTACTAAATAAAGGTTTGAATTGTTACATTTTAAATAACCAAGTAATTCACGCTTTCTGTTTAGGAAACTATCGAATGAATATAACTGAAACAGGAAAGCTGATGGTGAAAGATTTTCTGGAGACTTTTTCTGGACTTTACACATGTACTTTTTCTTATAAGATCGTCAAAGCACAAACCCAAGTAGAAAAGATGGTAAAACAGAGATATGAGTTCATGATGTTTGGTAAGAATATAGGCACATTTTAATTTACTTAGTTCGGATCAGAAGTCAGTGTATGGTTTCTCCCATGAAAATGAGTCTGTTACATATAATCAGTGTAACTTACAGGGTATTTTGGGTGTATTTGACCAGGTAGACTCTTAAATTAATGCCAAGATGGTGTATCCTGACTAATCCCCTTCCAGCCTCCCACTTTCCACTGTTTAGGTGTGCAATCTGCTGTATCACAATTTTGCCAGGTATCTGAAAAACAGATATTTAATCCTATAAACACAAATGAATGATCCTTTTTACTGGACTGTTCTGACAACAATGATACTCTGCGAATGAAGACCCTACCCCCTCCAGAAAAATCTTACTTTTCCTTGATACTGTTATCTCCATAGCCAACCCACAGAAGCCCTGTCCTTAACTTGTACTGAGTAGATAATATATATCAGGTGAAAATAACCTTTTTTTTATTCAAGGTATTCGTTTTGTATATTTTTGAGACCACACTGATAAAACATTTTCTTGGATAAGTGAAGTTTCTGTGCTGATTTGAAAAGTGTTGAAAAAAAATTAATGCTAGGCACCATTTTATTCTCATCTTTTTTAAAGCCTATCGGGAACCTGATTATTCGTATCAGATGGCTGTACGTTACACCACAAAATCTTGCGTAGGAAACTATAATGACCTGTTTTTTAGAGTGCTGAAGAAAGTCTTGGATAATTTAATCTCTGATTTGTCATGCCATATCATTGATTCATCATATAAATGCCATTTGGTGGAAGTTCCAAAACATGGCGTCATAGCTGAGCTATTTATAGCTTTTCAAGGTAAAAAAAAAATTTTTAACTTTGCTTTTATAAGTTTAATCTTAAACCATGACAGATTACAAACCTAATTACCAGATAAATGTGAGCTATCTTACAAATAGTAGGACTTAAATGTTTGCTAAGCATTGAAGTATATTTTGGGTCTTAGCCTGGTTATAGTTCTAAAGGTGAATGCATCGCCGTGACCTGAGCGGTTGGGCTTGGCCCCTCAAAGCTACGGGACACCGGTTTGGTTCTCGCTCAGAGCACATACCTGGGTTTCAGTTCTGCCCCATTCAGGGCGCGTAGGAGGGGCAATCGACTGGTGTTTCTCTCCCTCCCTTCCCATATCTCTAAAAACAAATACATAAAATCTTTTTTAAAAATGAATGCATTATTTACCTTCAACTGTGATATACTGTTGCTTATGTTCTAGATGTCAGTGTTATTTTATCAATATGGCCTTTAACTAAGCAGCTAATATGTAACATAGTTTTTTAAATAGAATTTTAAATCGTATTTTGGAGAACTTAATAAAAGGGAGGACCTAAACCAAACTCCTTTCTATTTATTGTCTATTTTAAAGCCTTGTAGTTACTTCCATTAGCCCCCAGGTGGAGTAAAATCATAATGTATAAATTATTCAAATCGTGCAACTTGATTACTGGGATTAGCTAGGTTAAGCACATGCACCCATTTATACTAAATTCAGCATTTAGAGCTTTGTTGGAATGTTTGGAACTTTTCAGAATCCTTTTGTGAGGATCTCATTTTTCCCTCTCCAGTTAACCCTTTTTCACCACAGTGGAAAAGTGTGTGTCAAAACTCTGCTGACTGTGAAGAAATTACTAACCGTAATATCCTCCAGGTGAGAATTTCATTGTCAGGGAAAATATTTGAATAGTCAATGGGGCTATTCAAATTTTTTTAACTATTTCATTTTCTTTGTTATTTTATTATCTAAAACTTCTAGTAACTGCTTAAAAAAGATTTCTTCATGTTGTGAATATGTGTCAGTAATAAAGACTTGCTTTTATTTTAAAAACCTAAATATAAAGCATTACTGACTTTTGGTTCTGGTTATTTAAACTAAGGCTGTGAGAGTCTTGGCCATTTCAAGGTGCTTTGTTTTGGAATAGTACCTGTGGAATATTACATAGCTCCCCAGGTTAATGTGATATAATTTTCTATGACAGAGGGATGGATCCCTGGGTTTGGTTCCCCAAATGTTAACTAAGCAGCAGCTTGAAGAACAACTCACAGTCAGGTCATCCTAGGTTAAACCAGTGGTTCTTTTACAACTGTATCTATGATGATCATAGTAGTTGCTACCTCCTCTGCTGTCCTCAGAAGCTAAGGATGTAGTCTTGAAAAGTCCCTTCAGCTCTGACTGGTGTGGCTCAGTGGGTTGAGTGCTGGCCTGCGAATCAAAGGATCGCCAGTTCGATTCCCACTCAGGGCACATGCCTGGGTTGCAGGCCAGGTCCCCAGTAGGGGGCACATGAGAGGCAACCACATATTGATGTTTCTCTCCCTCTCTTTCTCCCTCCCTTCCCCTCTCTAAAAAATAAATAAAATCTTTTAAAAAATCCCTTCCCTCTCCTGGTCTAGTTCCTGAGCCCATACCCTTTATATTGTGCCTGGCAAAGGGAAGCACTGAGTTTATATTAACCATTATTAAACTCTGTGTTCAAAAAAACGACAATAAAATCTAGATCATTAGTTTGTAATGCTGATTAGAGAAAAGCTTTAGTTTCCATTTTACTTGGCTCTTTGGAATTAGAAATAATAAACATCTACAAATGGAATAGATGTGGTGCAAGTTATTCAAAACAAGTGTTCATTAACTTTAATTTTTCTTACCCATCATACATATGAATTGACAATCGATAAGGTCAAGGCTAGACTAATTTTAGTATTAATACACAACTTTCCAGGGATTCATCTGTCATGTAAAACCTGGGTGGAGTGGGTGTGTTCATAGTACATTTCATTGCCTCTGATGCAGGAGGAGAAACTGGTTCACAGTTCAGTCACTGCCCTTCTCCCTGGTGTTTTAAAATCTAGGCAAGAGACCGAATAGCAGAATTTTTCCGGCGGCAAGCGAATCTTTTCTACCATGATCCTAGTAAAATTCTCCCCGCTCTGCACTTTGTGGACCACAGCTTTGAAATGGCACGTATGGACAGCTGCCGTCCGGGCTTTGGGAAAAGCGAAGGCATGCATAGTAACTGTGCTACGTGTTGCGGTAATTATCAGATATAAATGGCCACAGATGCTGCGTTATAGAACTGTGCACCCGAAACCTGCATAATCTCATCAACCAGTGTCACCCCAGGAAACCCAATACAAATTTAAATAGATAGATAGATAGATAGATAGATAGATAGACAGACAGACAGACAAGTATTTAGGGTATATAGTCAGAAGAATACCAGTAGATGAATAATTCACTTAGGATAATTGAACTGAATCTATATAGCGACCCTCTTACAGAAATGTTATATTCAGCTAAAGGGAAGTAAAAATTCAAAGACTACATTTCCGAATGTGATGGTCTTCATGTGTGTTAACTCTTCCTAATGCACTCTTTTCTATTACAAAACGTGCCTGGAGTCTTCTGCCTCCAGCTGCCATACTGTGCAGGAAAACAGAATGGCACCGCTTCGAAAACAGAGAATTGGAAACAGGAACTAGAAAACCAGAAACAGAAACGCGTAAACCAGGCACTGCAGGAGGTCCTGTAAAATCCTGATCTTGGTGAAACACAAAACAAAACAAAACAAGGTCCTAACTCTCCTGCCTTTAACATCATTAATCCCAATGTTCAGAGCTCAAAGCTAATCTCCACAACGTAACTGACTGCACATCACCCAGGAAGCACATCGTAGGTATAGAGAAGGTGTGAGGTTGCAGGCAGATTTATATCATTGGTACAAAATTCCTCTAACTGAAACTACAATCATTTCCTCCGTGGGCTTTCCTCTGCAGTGGTTTGCAGCCCTGGGACTTTCAGCCCCGACGGTGATGTCACTTGTCAGACCTGCACTTCGGCCCACACCTACGGAGCTAAATTGTGCCCCCCGACATAAAGTGCAGCACGAAGACTGGAGGTAACGGCGTTGTCGCTTGCTTGTGGAAGTGGGGGGCACGGGACTTGCACACGCATCCCAGAGCACCACAGTTCCATTAAGTAGGATCAGTCAGGCCCAAACACTGGAAAACACACATTCTAGAAACTTTAAAAAGATGGTTGACGTGGCATTTCTCAGAAGGCATGTAATGTCGCCCGTGTTCAGAGGGAACTGTAAGTGTTAGTGGATGGTTTTTAATGAGATATGTTTTGTCATTTACAAACTGAACCTGTTGCTCTGTACCTAAGGCTATATTAAGATCAAAAAGAGTAGCGAAGTCTAATACAATAAAAACTTTATACTTTCCATATATTAATTTGTTTGAAATCACTCTTACATGATATAAAGGCATCTATATTACCTTTGTATTTAGAGGCAAAAAAAGTTCTTTCTTTTGGTCTCTTCACTTTTCGTTTGTTTTTTACATAATTAATAGACTTTATTTTCCAGTAGTTTTATATCCATAAAATAATTGAACATACATTACATAGAGTTTCATACCCCCTCTCTGTCTATCCCCCACCCCCCGCCCCTCCCATTTCCCGGTACTAACATCTTGCACTAGTGTGATACATTTGTTACAATTAAGAAACCAATGCTGATACATTCATAGTTTACACTAGGGTTTATACAGTTCTGTGGGTTTTGACAAATGCATGATGACACGTGTCCACTATTACAGTCTGGTACAGAATAGTGTCACCACCCTCAAAACCCCTTGCTTCACCTGTTCATCTAACCCCCGCACCCCAGACACCTCGACAACCACTGATCTTTTTACTGTCTCTGTGACTTTGCCTTTCCCAAAATGTCGTTTACTTGGAGTTTACAGTTTGTACATTTCTCAGACTGGCTTCTTTCATTTAGCAGTATGTATTTAAGGTTCCTCCATGTCTTTTTGTAACTTGATACCCCTTTTATTGCTGAATAATATTCCACTGTATGGGTCTGTGGAGAACGCCTTGATTAATTCCAGTTTTTGGTGATGATGAATGAAGCTGCTCTAAACATTTGTGTGGAGGTTTTTGTGTGGACGTACGTTTTCAACTTAATTGTGTAAATACCTAGGATCATGATCGGTGGGTTTATGGTAAGATTAGGTTTCGTTTTGTAAGAAACTGCCAAAGTGTCTCCCAAATTGGTTTACCATTTTGCATTCCTATCAGCAATGAATGTGCTCTTTTTTTAAAAGATTTTATTTATTTATTTTTAGAGAGGGAAGGGAGGGAGAAAGAGAGAGAGAGAGAAACATCAATGTGCGGTTGCTGGGGGCCGTGGCCTGCAACCTGGGCATGTGCCCTGACTGGGAATCGATCCTGTGATGCTTTGGTTCACAGCCCGCGCTCAATCCACTGAGCTGCGCCAGGCAGGGCTGAATGCGCTCTTATTGTTCCTCATCCTCGTCAGCTTTTGGTATTTTCCATTTTGGGACTTTAACCATTCTAATAGGTATATTGTGCCATTTCATTGTTGTTTTATGTCACTGTTGTTCTTTCTGCCTGTCACTGGATCTACTCTTTTCAGGGAAACAGGCCCCTTCTTCTCAGGCGTTGTCTTCCCGCTGAACCTGTAACTGAGGCTGCAGTAAGCCTTGTCGCCTTTCAGCTAAGGCATGTGCTTCTGGACGGTGGGGTCTGTGGTAAGACCATTCGGTACCATGGTCTGAGCCAACTGCTGCACTTCCCTTGCCATGAAGCGAGGCCCTGGATCAGACATATGCTTTGTGGAATGCTGTGGTGGCAGAAAAGGCATCCATCTGGGAGTCTGCTGGAGACAATGCTTGCAGAAGCATCACAAGTGTGGAAGGCAGCTCTACATCCAGAACGTGTGTCTATTCCAATAAGGATGAATCTCTGTCACTTAGACGGTTTTAATCCATCACCATAAAAAAAAGTAAAAAACCCTAGGCACACAGATTAATGTATGTCTTCCTGAGATAGACTAATGTATTATTCTTTTTGCTTTATAATAGCATGTCTCTTTTTGAAACAGCAGAATTTTTTTAAAGATTTTATTTATTTCTTATTTTTAGAGAGGGAAGGGAGAGAGAGGGGGAGAGAGAGAGAGAGGGAGAGAAACATCAATGTGCGGTTGCTGGGGGCCGTGGCCTGCAACCCAGGCATGTGCCATGACTGGGAATCGAACCTGCGATGCCTGGTTCACAACCCGTGCTCAATCCACTGAGCTACGCCAGCCAGGGCTATTTTTTTTAAAAAAAAGCAGAATATGAACATTCTAATGATAGAACCATCCCCTTAAGATTTCAAGGTCTCCTTCTGGAGGGTAGAACCAGAATCTTCCTAAAGAGTTAAATGCCCAGGGAGCTCAAGGGGAGCGCTGCCTGTGCTCCCAGATCACAGCCGATGCAAGTATGTGCCCGGCACAAATTCTAAATGTGGCCTTTAATGTATTTATTCTATAGTCCTTATGTTCATCATAGTGAGTAGATGTTCATTCACATTTTATATAGTGAAAACAGAGGTAAAAATTGTGAATTAATTTTCCCAAAGTCACACAGCTGGTAAGTTGTAGAGTTGCCACTGGAAGCTTCCAGAATCTAGGCTCTTAATGACCACACATTCTGGTGTTTCCTAGGAAGTCTCCCCTCTAGCAGGTAATCGCTATTCCTAACATCTCATATGGGATCTTCAAACAAAGCAGTTTAATGCTAAAGTGCCCATTAGGCCAAAATAAATAAACAAATACAATAAAATAAAAGACAAATTTTAACTACGTCCAGGGAGGGAAAACTCACAGTGCAGGTTAGAGAGTGAACCCGCGATGGCATTGTCGCAAGATTGCCACCTGGTGCTCTCTGTTGGTGTCAGCCGGGTTGACTCCTCTTCCCCTCCCCTCAGAAAGGCTCACAGGACGGTGGCACTGTTCTTGAGTTTGTGGATTTTCTTTTCCCTGAGCCAGAAAGGCATTTTCTCCTTTTACATTTCGTATCCCATCCTCCCGGGCCCTTTTACCCTTTGGGTCGCCGCCCTGTTGCCGTCCTAGCTGTGCTCACCAAGCTTTGCTGACCACACAGCCCACGCAGCTGATAAATATTTCTCAGGGCCCTTCTCGCCTTCCTCCTCCCGTTTCGTAAGTCCCTTCAGTCCTTCAGAAGGAAGAGCGTAGATCAACTGACAGATCAGTGCGATTACCTTCTCCTCTAAGAGTGGAAATAGTTTTCACAGTCATAAGCAAAGCCTGATCTCGAGAAAAAATAATTTTTAAGTTACAATAATGGGGATAATATTTGTATCACTGCCCAATTTGTGCACATGTCTGTGGCCCAGTGTGGAAGTTGTTTTTTTTTTTTTTTATCATAGCAGGCTTATTGTCTCACCAGTAGTCTATTCCTCGGAACTGCTGATTAATAGCCAAAGAAAGAACTTTCCTGTTTCTCCCTGAGTCAGGGACTGTAGCTGTCAAGAAGCAACATAACAGCCCTGGCTGGCGTAGCTCAGTGGATTGAGCGTGAGCTGCGAACCAAAGTGTCGCAGGTTCAATCCCAGTCAGGGCACACGCCTGGGTTGCAGGCCATGGCCCCCAGCAATCGCACATTGATGTTTCTCTCTCTCTCTCTCCCCCTCACTTCCCTCTCTAAAAAATAAATAAATAAAGTCTTTAAAAAAAGAAGAAGAAGCAACATAACTTCAGAGCGCTAGGGCACAATCATAAATTATGTAGGTCTGAGAGACACGGAGCTTGCAGAAGCCCAGCTGATGCCAAAGGATGGATAGTTCCCGAGCGGCAGTGTTCATTATGAAGACTCCCAAACGTGGGAGGTGGAGTTTGGATAAACAGATACAATGCTATCACTTTGGATCATCTCAGGCTAATGCATTGATATCCTAGTATCAGAATCTGGAAACTAACAGCAATGAAGGTGTTTGGAAAACAAAGAAGATAAGGAAACAGGAAGGAAAAAAAAAAAGAGGAAAAAGTGGTTTTAACCACCAACCATTGAATAGAAATGGTTGCATGCAATTCAGAGGGTAAAGGAAGCAGACCTCAGTCCAAATGAACTTATAAACTTGAAGTTCTTTTCTGTTCTTCTTTTTCTTTTCAGACGCAGGTGACACAGTTTTGACTGAAGAGCTCTAATTTAGGCGCCCGGAGCCTACCTAATTTTTGTGGAAGACTTCTGGAATGAGCCTCACACAGAAGGAAATCAACCAGCTTTCAAATGCAGAGGAAAGACTAAACCGAGGGCAGAAATGTATATATGCCTCCCTCTCCTTTCCTCGTGGCCCAGCTCTGTCTGAGTCTAATATTCAATGGTTTCTAAAGCATCTCCCAAGATCCGTCTGCCCTGAATGATCGAAAACCAGTGAGGAGCACGTCCGTGGTCTCCGCGGAAAGACCCTTGCCTTCCGATTCCCGCCCGGGCTCCGTCGTTTTCCAATGTGTCTTTGGCAAAGACCATGTCCTCACCCCTGCTGTGGGGGAACTAGTACCAGTCTCCACCTCTCTTAAAATGTAGTTTTATGTAACATAATGTATACAAAAGAATTTTGTAAATCATAAAGCACCAACAATTTCAAGACTCTGCATTGGTTCGTGTGTCCTATGACCGGTAAGGAAGTGCTTCCGCACAGCCAGGAATCCACAGCCGTCACCACGGTGCTGATCCATTCAGTCAGTACGTTTTTACTGGATGTTACTTTGACTTACTATTTATTTACTTTTATTGGCTACGCTCAGTACCTCATCCTATCATCCATCCTCCAAAGAGGAGGATCTCTAAACAATGTAGTTTCTCTGTTTTTGAACATTATGTGGAGAGAATCATATTGCATATATTCTTTTATGCCTTGATTCTTAAGATTGATCTCGTGGAACATTAGTTCACTCATATTTATTGCTGTATAGTATTCCATGATAGAAATATACCACAGTTTGTTTATCCATTCTATCATTGGAGAGCATTCAAGTTGTTTCTAGTTTTTTGTTTGTTTTTAAGAATCTTTTTTAAAGGTTTTTTTTTAGAGAGAGAGGGAGAGAAACATCAAATGTGTGGTTGCTTCTCACACGCCCCCACTGGGGACCTGGCCTGCAACCCAGGCATGTGCCCTGACTGGGAATCGAACCAGCAACCCTTTGGTTCTCAGGCCAGTGTTCAATCCACTGAGCCACCAGCCAGAGCAAGTTGTTTCTAGTTTTTGATGATTACAACATCCTACTACAAATTCTTAAAAGGATATCTTGTGTGATGCACATGTGCACAAGTTACTCTAGAGTTTATACTAGCAGTCAAACTTCTGGGTCATAGGGTGGGTAAATCTTCCCTTTGTAATGCCAAACTGTTATTCAAAGTGGTTGTACTCATTTATCTTCCCAGTGGTAGTATTTGAAAGTTCTCATGGTTTCAGGTACTTACAACACTTGAGGCTGTCCCTTTTTTTTACAGTGTAAAATTTTTGTATTTAGGATTAGCCAGCTGGACTCAGTTAGATGATCCCAATTTTCTGGGCAACATCCAAAGCTCAAAGCTCAAAGCCAAACATACATTTCTTTCCTTCCTCAGGCCTGATCAGGGTGTTGCCCTTGGCCGTGTCAATATCATGGAGCTTCGTCACAGCCCGTTTGACCTGGTGCTTGTTGGCCTTGACACCCACAACAAACACAAGTGTGCCACTGTCGTCCATGTTTTCATGGCTGACTCGGTAGTCAGGGGGAACCGATGATGGCATAGTGGTCAAGTTTGCTTCTCCTGGGGGTGCTCTTCCGAGGATATGTAGGCGTCCTTCAGGGCCACAGGGTCTTCAGCCATTGGAAGGTGGGTGACGTGTGGCTCTCCTTATTCTGTGGCTGTGGACACCTTTTAGCACTGCTTTCTTTGCCTTAAAGCTTTGGCTTTGGCTTTGGCTTTGGCTTTGGGAGGCGCAAGGGCTTCCCTCTTTGCTTTCAGCACTATCTTCCTGAAAAGTGATATTGTCTCTTTTAACCTTTTTCCAATGTAGTGAATGAGCATTGGTATCACATAGTAGTTTTTGTTTTATTTCCCTGATTACTAATGATGTTCATCATCCTTTCATATGTTTGTTAACCATTAGGATTTTCTTTTTTATTTTCAAAGATTCTTATTTATTTTTAGAAGGAGGGGAAGAAAGGGAGAAAGAAGGACAGAAACCTTGATGTGCAAGAGATACGCCAATCAGTTGCCTCTCACACACCCCCAAGTAAGGGACCTGGCCTGCAACCCAGGCATGTGCCATGACTGGGAATTGAACTGGTGACCTTTTGGTTCTCAGGCCAGAACCCAATCTAGTGAGTCATACCAGCTAGGGTAAGATTTTCTTTTTAAAAATATTTTTTTTAAATTTTTTTAATTTAAAAAAATTTTTTTTAACTTTTTTTAAATTTTGTATAAGACTTTTGTCTATTTTTCTATTGGATCATCTTTTTTAATTGATTCACACAAGCTCCCTATACACTGGATACTATTGCTTTGTAAGTTACATATGTTTTAAATATTTTCTCCCACTCTGTGGTTTGTTTTTGTACTTCTTTATATCTTTCGGTGAACAAAAGTCTTTAATGTTAGTATAGTTATAATTTTGCCTTTCCCATTTAGAGCTAAAATCCACGTGCTGTGTGATAGGGATCGAATTTCATTCTTTACCCATGTGGTTACCCAACTGTCCTGGACCATCTACTGAAAACACAGCCCTTCCCCACTGATCTGCAGTGACATTTCTCCCACGTATCAAGCGTGTCTTCATGCATGAGAAGCTGTGTCTGGGCCGTTTGTCATGTCTGCTGATTCTTGTTCATGGTGTCATCTCCTGGTGTGCTTCGTTATTATTATTTTTTTTTACCAGGAACCATTCTTGTCCTTTAAAAACTTTTTGTGGAAATGAAAATACCTTTCTCCAGAAAAGCTCTGGGTTGGGTTTGGACAGCTATTTGGATACACAGTCAATCCTGTTCCCTCCCAAGCGAAGTCTGCAATGTGAAATACCCTGAAACACCCAGATGATGCAAATCCAGGCTAAGTTCTGTGAAAAAAAAAAAAAAAAACTAGTCTGTGGCCATAATATTTCATAACTTTTTTCCTTTCCTTTTTAAAAACCTCTTCTTCACTCAGTACCAGAAGTCTTGCCCTGGCCGGATGGCTCAGTGAGTTGGAGCATCATCCCGCATGCACACACGCACAGGAGGCTGCGGGTTCGATTCCAGTCTCCAAAGACATATTGACATCTCTTAAGACCCGCTGCCACCCTCTCTTCGTTCTTGTGGGTTTCTGTCTTTTCTGTTGCTTTGCTGTCATTTAGTGAAGTTTCAAGAAGGAGAGGAAATAAATATCAATTTTCCGATTTTAATCAGAAGTCTATGCATGCAGTCCAGCCTGGGTTTTGTGCATTGTCACGGAGGGAATGGGGCGCATCGAAGATGAGCCAGCTGCTTGTTTGAAAGGTTAGCATTTCGGTGACTGGGGGAATGGCGCGTGGGGTGAGGACGGACTCGGGGAGGGAGCCCGGGAGGTCTGTGGGGAGAATGGTTGAGGAGCTAGCAGGGAGACACGGGGGCAGGCTTCTCACTCAGCTGCAGCAGGACGGAGACGACAAGGTAGAGGGCGCAGACAGTCTGAGCCTCAGGGTCGCAGCCCACATCCCGGGGCTGCTCACCCAGCTCCTGCTCCAGGACAGACTTCACCCCGCCGGACTGTGAAAGCTAGAAACATAGACATGCGTGTAAGAAACGGCTAATGCTTGGCCACACGCCCTAATCCCGGGCCCGTGGCAGACACAGTAATCCATCACGGCGCTCTTTCCTGCAGAGCCTGGAGCGCCCGACACTCGCTCTACAGAGTGACAGGTCCTGCAAACCAATCAGTGTTGTCGCTTACGTTGGTGCCACCTGCCGACCTGGGACTAACAGGTTTACAACCCCCTCTCTTGCCCATCCCTAACTGTCCTGGAAACTGCATGTGCAGGAGACTGCTACGCACCAGTGGGCTGGACATGAGCTGACAGAGAACCATGAAGTCAGAAGGGACAGAATCCTGGGACTCCTGGCCCCCTTGAGAGCACAGGCATTCACTGCTACCAAGAGCCTGGCCCCCAGCCCAGGCCCCCAGCCCAGGGTCTCTTACCTGGTCCTTCAACAGGGGCAGGGTCCCCTTCTTCAGGGTCTCGGCCACAAGCTCCCTCTCCTCAGACAGCTCTGAGAGTGAAATAAGAGGGCAGTTGGCAGAAAGGAGAGGCACAGAGTAGGACTGGACTTCAGTGTCTGATCGGCCCCAAGACAAGCATCAGGGGAGGTCCCAGGGAGCTCCTGGGAGTGCTGCACGGAGTTACTCCAAACGGGCTCCCGCTGGGGCTCCTGCCCCTTCCCTCTCAGCCTGCAGGAGGTCGGAGACCACGCCAAGGGGCAAGAGAAGACAGTCCCTCAGTCCCGGCCCGGGAAAGATGCCTAGTTTCTGAATGTGATGGTTCACTCCTCAACAGAGGCAGAGGCAATGTGTGCCACCTTACTCCTAAGGCGTGGTGCCTGCAGGCTCCTCTGCTCCGCATTTCCTCCCATCCACTTGCGTTTCGTCCCCTCCCACACGAGCACCCATCCGGACCCCTCCTCACCCTGCAAGGCATCCAGGAAATCCAGAATGGCTTCTACGCGTGCCTCCGCCAAGATCCCAGCAGCATTAAACAGGCTACTGATGACGGGATCTGCTGGGCCCTCCATCTGTAGCTCCCCGGAGACCAGGACCTCAGACACCTACAGCCAGGGGCCGGCCGGGAGATGGGAGATGAGCACTTGTCCCGCTGGCGCAGACTGTCTGCCTCATGCCAGCTGCCCTCCCCGCGGGCTCCTCCCCCCTCTCCACCCTGGTTCTGTCTTGGGCCCCTTACCCTTTCATCTAGAGCCTGCAGCTCCTCATCTGACGTGAGGCACTTCGTGAGGCAGCTCAGCACGTCTTCTCGCTCCTTTTCGGTCAGATCCTGGAGGCCCCCCACTGCGCCCTGCACCTTCTCCTCCATGTTTCTGAAATCCTCCAAGCTCAAGGACTTTCCTGTGGAGGCAGCAAGTAAGAACCCAACCTATCCGACCCAACGAACTCCATTCCCAAGGCCCCTCAAGGCCCCATTCTTTGTCTGTTTCTCTTCAGGGGACCGAGTCTGCACCTTCCCCTCTTCTAGTCTTCTTCCCAGACGCCCACCGTCACCGCTTCCTGCTGACCCCACTTCCATCTCCCTAGCTCACCCCCAGTCTGGCCCCAACCCCAGATTCTCCTCCACCGCCAGGAAAGCAAAACTTATTGAGTCCTCGCCGTTCAAAGTGCAGCCTTTAGACCACACCGGTTGGAGGGAGGATTTAGATGAAGTCAGAGCAGTGTCTCCTAGCCTTGACCGTGCATGAGAATCACCGGGGGAGCGATGTAAAACACCCTGATGTCCAGGCCCCACCCCTAGATCAATTCAATCAGAATTTCTGGAGGTGGGACTCAGGCATCACTGGGTTTTTGTTTTCTGTGTTTGTTTTAGATAGTCCATAATTTGTTTATTCATTCACCTGTTGATAGATGTTTGCCTGTTACAAATAAAACTGCTATGGACATCGGTGTTCAAGGCTTTGTATGGATATGTGTTTCCTAGAGTTGCCGTAACAAATGACCACCAGTGCAGTGGATTAAAACAACACAAATTATCTCATGGTCCTTGGGGTCAGAAGTCCCCAGATGGTTTCCACTGGGCTGGAATCAAGGTGTCAGCACATTTGCATTCCTTCAGAGGAAGTCACTAGTTTCAAGGTTCCCCCACGTGATGTCTTGATGTCTGTCCAGCCAGCGAGAACCGTGTTTAGAGGAGACAGTTGCAACCTCCAGACTAAACGTGAAACCTTCTTTGGGCCCTGTCCTCCCTTTCTGCCCTCAACTGCCCCCTCACACACACACACACACACACACACACACACACACACTCAGTGCTGGAGGCCAGAGGGCTCAAGGGTAAGGGGGTGCAACCACCCTGAACATAGCTGGCTGCCGTCCTTACCTAAGCAAGAGGAGTCACCATCTTCCTCTGCAAAGAAAGGAAAAGTCATCTCAGAGAGAGTTTAGGTCACCTCCAGCCCCCGGTGGACACTGTCTTCCCAGGGATGGAGGTTGTTGTTCCTGGACCCTGAGCCCTCCCTGCCCACGCCAAGGAGCCTGTGTCCTCATCCCCGTGTGAACACGACCAAGCACTGTATTTGCAGACCCACGCCCACATCCTCAGACACAGGCAGCCGTAGGGTTACTCCCTGATGATGGAAAGAAACAGAAGCCCAGAGAGGGCGCAGCGGCCCCGAGTCCTCAGCAAACTCGTGTCAGAGCAGCGAGTGGAATCTGTCTCCCGACTCCTCCCTCGTGGCACTTAAAAACGACAGGGACTCACTCTTCTGAGCTAGCAGGACCTTGCCGAGACTGAACCTGTAACTGCTACCACTTCTAGCAGTTTCTTGAATTTTCACCCACATCCAGTCCTCTTTCTACCCTTTCCCAAGGCCTCCCAGGCAGTACAGTTCTTCTGGGATCCAGGGAAGGACACTGAAATTCCAGAGGCAGCCACATTCAGAATCACAGGGACCTTCTGGTCTAACCCATTCATTTTAAAGTCGGGAAAACCACAGCTCAGGAGGCTATAGAGCTAATGAGTGGGAGAGTCGGGACTGATCTCCGAGGCTGTGTGACTCCCCAGTCCAGTGCCCCTTTGACAGCCAGTGCTATCTTGTGAGAAGGGGTCACATAATTCAAATGTGCCTCCTGGGGCCAATAAGGTTTCAGTGAGGGCTGTGACCCCTCGACCCAGCACACTGACCCACACAAAGCAACTCAAAGTCAGAGCCTGGAAATGCTAGGCCGGCGCACAATCCAACCTGCTTCTCCAACAGCCACGTCATTCTCCTGCCCTAACCACAGTCCCCACCGCCCGCGCATCCTATTGCATTCCTAGCCTCCATAATCCTGTATTTCCCAGCCACTTGTAATTTGTGATCCTCTTTTTAAAAACCGTATCCTTGCTTATTCTGGAATGAGGGGCAGGAAGTACAGAAGCTCACTCACCTTCTGGAAAGGATTTTGTTTTTCCGGAGAAACAAATGTCTAAACCAACACAAGGGGGCGGGGGGTGGGGTGGGGTGGGGGGAGAAAGAGACCAGTTATCAGAAAGGCCAGGTTTCTCTAAGATCCTCCCGCGAGTCTCTCCCCAATCCTCACATCCTGCCCTCCACCCAAATAAATAAATAAATAAATACCGGGGGAGAGATGGGAGTTAACACCTTTTGGAAAGGATCATGTGTCATGTGTCATGATGGAGGGGACCCTTGGTCCAGCAGAGTCTGAGCAAGGATCCTCGGTCCTTCCCAGTCTTGAACCCTCTCTCTTCCTCCCTGACGAACATCTTCAAGCTCAGCAGAGCCCTCCCTGCCCCGCAGGCTGACACGGAGCCTGGCTGAATCCATCCCCGCTGCACTTGGGTGTCAGCGCCCCTCGCCCACCTTGTCCCCACCAGGCCTTGCTTACTCATCCTTTCCGTGCTGGGGAAGACGAGCTGCTTGACTCGATAGCCCAGGACCAGATTTGGGGGGATGGTTACTGCCCTTTGGTGCTAGGAAAAAGGAGCTCACGTTCATTGATTCATAGGTGCTTTACATAGTTATCTTGCCTGATCTCCCAAACAACCCTAGGAGGGAGAGATGTCATGCCCATTTTACAGACGAGAGAACTGAGTCCCAGCATCAGTAGGTGAGGCAGTATCACAACTAGAAACTAGCAGAGCTGAAATTTGACCCCACATCTGAGCTCCAAACACACGTTGCTTCCACTCTGCACTCAACCAATGTTCACTGAGGACACATTGCGTCCCAGGCGCTCTGGCCCTTGCCCTCCTTCCGACCCCTTGGAAAGGGAGGCAGATGACGAATATGCAAAAACCCCATGTCATGATGAACCGTGGGGAGCACTAAGAAGGAGATGAACACAGGGTGTCGTCGCCAGAGGCTACCGGGGAGAAACTCAGCGATGCCACACACACCTTCTCGAGCAAGAAGAGAAGCGCAAGAAGGCCCAGGAGCAGGCAGGTCTGCTCTGGGAGGCCTGGGGGAAGAGCGAAAGGGCCTGGCGTCTGGTCTGGCAGCGCTCCGGCCTGCAGCAGGTGGGCGCCGGCTGGCTCTCTCCCCAGTCCCTGTTCCCCAGGACCCTGACCTTGCGTTCACACTTCAGACCACAGAAGTCCAACTGGCTCAGAAACGCATATTGCCGTTCACTCTTCAGGGTTTCCTTCCTCGTGGTCTGCAGAGTCTCTGTCACCAGATACAGGTCCTCTCTCCTCGTTTGTATCGACAGAAACGAAGCGGGGAGTTTTCTCTTCAGCTTCCTGCGGGGGGAGTGTGGGGGGCAAGAGGTCAGGATGTAGGGGCCCCCCCTTCCCAGTGACCTTTTTCACTCTCCATCAGCTAGTTCCTATTTGAGATTAAGTGCTCCTGAGGCTGGAAAACCAAGGCTCACAGCACGCCCATCCTGGTGCACTTTACCCACCGTGGGGGCAAGAGGGCGCGGAGTGGAAAGGGACCTCGCTGACATTTTTGGAGGAGGGTGCTACACGGCAGGCCCCTCCACATGCCATCGCATTCCCCGCTGGCTGCAACCCTATGACGGAGCCAGGATTGCACCCATTTTTCACATTAGGAAATTGAGGCTTAGAGGCAGGTTCTGAAGGGTCCAAGGTCGCACAGATAATACGTGGAGAGCTGGGATTCAAAAGCTGCCCTGCATGAGTCCAGAGCATGTGCCCCTCCCGCGGCACCGAGATAGGCGCCCGCCCAGCCCACAGCGCCCTCTCCTCTGAGAAGGGGCTCCAGCTCCTCGAACGGGTCCCTGGGGCCTGGATGTAATTTCCACCTGTGGGCTCCGGGAGGCATCTCTGATTCCATTAGGAGATTCATTTTGTGACTAAAAACAGCCTGAAAGAGCTCCTGGTATTTGCAGCCGGAGACCCTCCAAGAAGACCCACAGCTGTGCCCCTGCTGACCTTCCCCTGCCCAGCTGGCGCCCTGCCCAGCTGGCGCCCTGCCCCCAGCTCCACTGCACACACCCCTCGGCCTCACCCTGGAAGCAACGGGCCTTCCAGAAAAAAACCAGGCTCCCTTAGAAAAGTTCCAGAGACTCCTCCCCAGCAATATTATGGTGGGAAGAGGTCGTTCAAAAGACCAGAAAAGTTTCACTGGAAGTCTTTCCTTTTTTTAATGAAAAAGGAAAAACAAAGGCATCCACCCCTTCAGGGAGGGCTAGCCCGAGAGAACCCTGGGGCCCCTTTCCCTGAGTTGCCCCACACCGACCACCAATCCCGGCCGTGGAGGAAAACACCAGCACCTGCCACAGAACAACTGCGGGGGGCGTGCCGGTGACGCCCCTTTAAGTCCCTGAGAAGCATCTCAACTATCAGAACCTCTGTGGCACTTGATCGGTGCCACCCGGGTTGTCAGGGGCGGTGGCACCTTCTGTGCAGGGGTGTTCTGCAAGGGTGCTCTGAGCTCACGGTGCCTCCCTTCGGCTGCCTGACCGAGTACCTGCTGGGGATGCACATGGAGTTAGCAACGTCAGTTCCAGGTCTCAAGTCATGCCTGGTCCAGGGAAGGAGAGGGGCGTGGAAACCTTCGGCTTGCCACAAAGCAGAGTGAAATAAACACAAAATACAGATTTGGGCAACTCAGGATAGAAAAATAGACGAGAGTGGCACCTTGAAACCAGCAGGTTTTGGTCCAAGCCAGAGAGCTCAGTCACCCTGGAGGGCAGCAGGGATGTGAGTGAACTGGGGGCATCAGAAGGAGGTTTCCCGGGGGCTGATCCTGGAAGAATGAGACAGCTTCCCGACGGCGGAGAAGAGGAAGGCGGCATGCTCGAGTCAAGGCCTGGGTTGGGGCTGCGGGAGGGCGGGTGCTGGGAGTAGGCAGTGAGGCTGCCCCCGCCTCAGGTGCCCTTGGTGCCCAAAATGGGCTTCTCCTTCTCCTTCTCCCCACTGCTGCCTACCTCCAGCCTCACCTGTTCTCAAGGGACTCCAGGTATTGCTGGGATATCCTGGACCCCGACATCGTGATGCTTTGCTCATGGGACCCATGGAAGCCCCCTTCGATTGTTATTTGTTTGGGCAATTTCACTGTCAACGTCCCAGCGCAGTCCACCATATCCACAACTTGGAACTTGGCCTTTTGACCTGAAGGGAAAAGGGGGAAGATCACGCTGATCTATGAATTTCCAGAGGAAAATGCATTTTGGAACTGGTGAGACGTGGCAGAACTGGAAATAGTGCCTGAAATCCATCCTGGGTATGTATGTGACACTCATGTCTCACGATGCATGTGTTTCTTGAGCAACGTAAAAGTTTGCATGTGCTTTGTCAGAGAGAAAAGACAAATCAAACCTTATGCATACAGCCCTGACTGGTGTGGCTTACTGGATGGAGTGCTGGCCTGTGAACCTAGGGTGGCTGGTTCGATTCCCAGTTGGGGCACATGACTGGGTTGCGGGGCCAGGTCCCCAAGAGAGGGCATGTGAAAGGCAACCACACATTGATGTTTCTCTCCCTCTCTCTCCCTCCCTTCCCCTCTCTCTAAAAAATAAAGAAATAAAATTTTTTAGACAAAGCCCCTTTTTTAAAGATTTTTATTTATTTACTTTCAGAGAGGGAAGGGAGGGAGGGAAACATCAATGTGCGGTTGCTGGGGGTCATGGCCTGCAACCCAGGCATGTGCCCTGACTGGGAATCGAACCTGCAATGCTTTGGTTTGCAGCCCGCACTCAATCCACTGAACTACGTCAGCCAGGGCTAAAAAAAAAATCTTTTTTTAAAAAGCCTTATGCACACAAAGCTTACAGCATGGAAGAGGGGTTAAAAGACTAATTTTATAGCAGAGAAACGTGATGAACTCAGCCAGGTGAGCAAGATAAACATCAGTAGCGAAAGGCACGTTGACGCTACGTACCCTTGATAGGCTGCAATGGGAATGGTACCTCACCTCCGTGGTGTCCATCCCCACACCCACGGACGGTTACCTCAGTCTAACCATCAGACAAGTTCCAATGGAGAGGCACCCTACAATTATGCCTGACCAGTACTCCTGGAAACGGCCAAGGTCCTCAAAAACAAGAGAAGTCTGAGAGATTGTCACAGCCGAGAGGAGCCTAAGGAGACAGGAGGACCAAAGGGAACGTGGTCCCTTGGATGGGGTCCTGGGCCAGGAGAGGGACATCAGGTAAACAAGATAGCCCCAGTGAAGAATGGCCTTTAGACAATAAAGACAAACACACGAAAAACTCCTATGTATACTTTAACAACACCATCCACACCAGGGAGTTAAAAATAAACAAGTAACCCATTTGGAAAGGGAGCAGGCCAACTGGCTAAAAACCAATTCAAATGACCGATTCACTCCCCCCTGCCTCTGAACGGTTAATGCAAACAGATAGACTTTCCCTTAAAGGAAGTTAAACTGACTCAGTCAAATTTTTATGGTCACGGCAACATGCCCTAGTCCTGTTTTAACGTGTTTTCTGGTTTTCGGTGAACGGTCATCTGGCAAACTGATTGAGAGCCAGCTTTCAGTAAATCGGCTCCTGGCAATGGGCTTTTCAGAGAGTTGACGGAGGGCCTTTGAAAAATACTCATCTAAAAGTTTCCTAAAGCCCCTTGCTTGCTTAATTAAATTCCGACACGAAAACCCCCGCCACCTCCGACGCATCTGAGCACTGTTCCTGGTCGCAGAACGGCAGAGCCCGGCACGCGGCAGGTGCTCTAAAGCCATTCAGGGGCACCGGCAGGATCCCTCTCCAGCTCGCGATGAGCCCCTGATGGGCCGTAGCCGGAGGTCTGAGCTGTAAAACTGCTCTGCATGAGGTGCGAGACAATGATACGAGTCTCCATGTGAGGGCTCGGTAACACTCACCCTGGGACTCCTCAAACCCCCCCAAAACCAAGAACAGCTAAGCGTGGAAGTGGGAGATGCAACAGACTCCTTCCTCTATGAATCCCCTCAAGGCCTCGGGGAGTTCTGCTCATCAGCCACTCGGTCATGACCTCTGGAGAACACGGAGGGACAATACTAGCTGCCACAGCAGAATGACAGGGGCGAACTTTTATTGAGTGTTCCTTCTGTGCAGCCACTCTGGTAAGGGTTTACGTAATTTGTTTCATTCGATTCTTACAACAGTCTGCTTGAGTTGACAGAGGAGAAAACTTGGTCAGAGGTCACCCAGCTGGTAAGCGGCAGAGCCAGGCTTAGAAACCAGAAGGCCCCCAGCCCTAAAGCCTGCTAAGAAAAGACGTCTGGCCCTGGCTGGTATGGCTCAGTGGACTGAGTGCTGGCCTGCGAACCAAAGGGTCACCGGTTTGATTCCCAGTCAGGGCACATGCCTGGGTTGTGGGCCAGGTCCCCAGTAGGCAACTACACATTGATGCTTTTCTCCCTCTCTCTTTCCTCTGTCTAAAAATAAAATCTTTATTTTAAAAAAGCCCTCCATTTATTCAGTCACTTCAATAATAAACATAAACACAGGAGATGACATCAGCTGATTTTAAAACAAATTATTTACAAAGGGAAAAAATGGGGAAGGGAACCCGGACCAGTGTGGCTCAGTTGGTTGGGCGTTGTTGGGCAAAGTGAAAGGTCACTGGTTCGATTCCCGTGGAAGCACATACCTGGCCACACATGAGAGGTAATGGATCGGGGTTTCTCTCCCTCTCTTTCTCCCTCCCTTCCCCTCTCTCTAAAAATAAATAAATGAAATATATATTTTTAAAAACTGGCGCTAAGTTATCTTTCCAAAAAGCAAGGGGCAGGAAAGGAAAACTATTTAGGAATAGTTTCCAAGCAAAATAAATTTCCACACCCCTCACCCCCTTCTCCCATGCAGCTCCTCTGGGCATTTCTTAAACCGAGGTGCGTGGACGTGTTCGCACGAATTCCACAGTGTCCCTGTTGACTGGCTGGCTCGCCTGCTGGCGCTGGGGAGTGGAGGGAGGGGTGCAGCAGGAGGGAGCCCAGTCTCCCGGCTGGCCGTCCCTCACGCACCTCATACTGACCTGCGAGCCCGGAATCCAGCGCATCGAACTGCTCCTCGCCATCCAGTGGCTCCAGTATGTCCTCCACGGTGAGGTCCGTACCGTGGTAACGGGGTCTGAACAAACCTGCCTTCCCCCTCACCAGATGTGAGCAATGAAACCTGTCGGCGTCGACGATGCTCCTGACTTCGATCATATCGCCTCCCGCATCCATCTCGTGGACCACCGCTTTGGTGATTGTCTCAAATACGCTGGGCATTGTGCCTGGGCCAGCTGGAAGAGGGAAGGCCACTTCGGTCTGGGGGATGTGAGTTCAGGTTTTTAAGTCTACCTTCGGCAGCTTGGAGTCAAGGAAGATGCCAAAGCTCTAGGACAACCAGGACTTGGGATTATTTGCCTTCCTGTTTCTAGAAGGCGAGGTGGTCTCTACACACTAAGGAGGGGTGACCGCCACAAATGCCGGGGTTCTCCTCTGCCCGCCCCCCGCAGGAGCCCTTCTGGAGGAAGGATGGAGCAGGGAATGTCCCACGTGGAGAGTGAGCACTGCCTTCTGTGTCTCCCATGGCAGAGCTGCTCCCTCGCCCGGGGGGTCAGCGAGGGGAGGGGAAGCAGGCCCACCATCCCCTGGCCAGGCCCTCGCTAGTGCTGATGAAGACGGGACCCCGGAGCGGGTGGGGGCACGGTGGCCAGGCCTCACGTTATGGACCCTGACTGACTACTTCTTCCTGTGGCTCTGGCTCCCAGGCCTCCCTCCCTTGCTGTACTCTGCAAGGCAGTGGCATGGGTGCCCCTACCAACCGTTTCCCAACAAGATGGTGGTGAGTCGGCCTCAGGAGGAAACAAGAGAGAAAGGATGGAGTGCCCAGGTGGCCTGGAGCTGGGCACCTCTGGGTCCTGTCTCCTCGGTTTCTGGTCGCCTTCTGAAGGGCCCCCTTGCACTTGGTAAAATAAGATGAATCCCAAAGTGCCAGCGGAGCTTCTCCTCCCACCCGCTCTCCCCTTCACCCTCTCCTGGTCTGCGGCTGGCCCCTGGCCCGCCGGGTCTCGCTGCCCCGTGGGAGCCTCCACGGGCCCATGGCCGGTCTGGTCTGCCCCGGCTGCTCCTTCCCCGCTGCCTTTCGGCTGCAGCTCTGTCCCCACAGCATCAGACCTTTCGTTCTCTCCTACCTCCAGACGCCCCTTACTCTGTCCCTTTCCTGTCAGCCGCTTGGCAGTTCCTTTCCTTTGAGATCTCCTTCCCTTTCCTCGGGCTCCTCCGCTTCCCTCCCGGCACCAGGCCTCCCTCCCAAGCTCCCCCATCTCACCTCTGACCACCTCCCCTTAGGTCCCTTCAGAAGGCCCGGGCACCTGCTCATGCTCCCTCTTCTGTCCCTGCCCCAACCACGGTGTCCTACTCTCAACTCAGGCCCAACTTGGAAGCCCTTCTGGATGCCCGGAAAGGCGGTGCCCAGGGCCCACGGGCCCCCACCCCGGGCCCGCCCACCTCTTCTCTGTCCTCAGCTGCTCACCAGAAGTGCGGGTTGTGAAAACCCCCTCTGTAAGATCTCCGCACCGTTCCTGGCCACTGTGACCCAGGAAGCTCTAGCAAGGGAATCGAAAGGAACTGGAAAATTGGGTAGGGCCAGGTGCCCCACCTCCCGGACCTTTAGATAAGCTACGTTATGGCTGGGCCAGGGGCAGGTAAGGCCAGAGGTAAGAAACTCGTTCCTCCTTTGGAGCCCAGCGAGCGACTGGCATGTCTGTATCTCTACCTGATACGTATTCTAGGTGAGGAAGTGAGTCTGGGCCAGGGAACGGTGCAGGACCAGGCACCCGAGGCCACGCAACCTGGGGAGTTTGGAACAGAGACATGGAACATGAGTGGGTACCAACCGTGCACCGGCAGGCCTCGGCCACGGCTGTGTCCAGCACGGGAGAGCGCTCTAGCGAGAACCAGCCGCCCCCAACGCCACGCCCCTGCGGCAACACTGACGACTCAGACAGTGTCAGCAGCAGGGACGGCTGAGTCGGTGTGGAGGACCCTCAGGAAGGTGCCACCCCGTCTTCTTCACCCACCTCCTTTGCCAGGGAGAGACCTCTGGCTCCACCCCTCGGTCGGAAATAGCCACCCAAGGGAGCCTGACCAATGAGGGGGGGCCCTGCCTCCCTCAGTTCCGACAGAACGTTTCAGGAGACGATGATGGCAGTAGTAGCAGGAATAATACTAACATGACTACTGTGTACTGAGTGTTTACGACATGCCAGGCATCGGGCTAATCCTCACGATAACCCCGAGAGGTATTACCTTTACACAATAGAGGAAGGAACTGAAGCTCAGAGAAGTAACTTGCCAAGGCTGCAAAGCCAGTAAGTGGCAGAGCTGGAACCCGAACCCAGACTATTGTTGGTGTGTCCCGGGCCCTCCCTGACTGCACTTTTACAGGTCCGTGGAAGGCCCCAGGGCACCCCCACCTCTAGGACTGGCCCGGGGTGGGGGGGCTGCCTTTCTCCTCCCAGGGCTGTGCAGGCCTCCCTCAGAGGCGGGCAGAGGGTGGAGGTGGCAGGTGGACTTGGGCAGAGATCCCGCATTCTTCCTGACACTTACTCCAGGGACGCTGGGACGCTGGACCGGGGCCAGAGGGGAACCCAGGCTGCCGCGGGCAGCTCCCCTCCCCCCACCGCGGGACTTTGTCCCCATCCTGGGAAGAGCAGATGACTGCTGTGTGCTCGGAACACAGTGAATTGCAGGGAACCTCAGAGGTCAGAGTTCAGAGAGACTAAGAATTCCCTCACCGAAGGACTCCACCCCCTCTAGCTAGGTAAGCCTGAGTAAGTCCTGGGGGTACCTCTTCCCCTCCCACTCATGCTTGTGTCGGGGAGAAAAAAGCATAAAGATCCCTGAAGAAAGGCCAGGAGGAGAGGCAGCCCTCCCGGAGTGGGAGGACTGGGGAAAGGCATTCAGAGCAAAGGACTGGGCACCCCTAGGGACTCCAGCTTCAATTATGAGGCCACTGCTGGACTGACCTCCTCCCTGGCCATGACATAAGCCATCTGTCTGCCAGCCCAGCCCATGGAGCCCAGAGGTGGAAGTTCTTTCGGGGGTCGGAACAGCCAGGAAGTCCAAGGGCAGAATCCTGCTCTCCGCCTGCGGCTGCTTCTGTCCCACAGAGCTGCCCTGCTCGGCTGGGGACAGCAGGAAGAGCAGCCGTCCCAGGGTCCCTTTCGATCTCCAGGCAGAGGGTGGCCCACACCCCTTCCCCTCACCCAGGGCCCCCCCAGGAAGCCGACGCCAGACTCGGGGGGACACAGGAACACACGGTCCTTTATTGTGTTTCTCAGAATGCTGTACAAAGGGAGTAAAAATCCTATTCACACTTTGCTTAGAAAGATTTTGAGGTGAAAGTTCCCTATGATACATGGGGTGGGGGTGGGGGGCCCAAGAGGCAGAAACCAGAGCCAGTGACCTCCCCTCGTCCCTCAGGGCCCTGGGAGGGGGTGCGGGCAGGCCTGCCTTTTCAGAGCACAGGCCCTCGTCGGACCGGGGAGGGAGAAGGCGGCCCCTCTCCAGCGAGCTCGGGCTCCTGCCCCACCGCTTCCCCTCTGGGTAAGGAGACGGCGCCTGCAGGCGACCCCTTGCTCTGTCCACCACCCTGCCCACCCAGCAGGGACTGTGCAGGGCTCTGCAGCCCACCAGCCGGTTCAGGGGTGGCCTGAATAGCCCCACGGGTGGCCCTGCCCCAACGCCTGTCTACACGGTGAAGGGCTGCGGAAGGGCGTCCCCGTGCATCATTTCTAACCCGGTTTCCCCCCGCCCCTCACACCACTGCAGAAGGCAGCGTCAAACCGGACCTGGGCTCCTAACGACTAACAGGCCTCCTACACCCACCTCCACCCGGCACACCAACCCAGGAGCTTCAAACCCGCAGCGGGCTCCCTCCCTACTACCACCACCACCACCGTGCTGGGGGGGTAAATCCACTCTCCAAGCCTGCCCCCTCCCCGACTACCTCCCAAAGGACAAGGCTGGGTCTGGCCTGTGCCCCCACCCGCCCTCCCTCACACCAATCTCTGCTGCTCCATGACTCCCTTTTTCTGAGTCTCAACTCACCATCCCCACCCCTTCTCCACCCCCTTCCCGCCTCCACCAGGGCAGGATGGCAGCAGCCGTGGCCCCTCACCTCTGGGACCTTGCCATCCACACGCAGCCCCACCACCCCTCTGCTTACCCTCCCCCACCCCACTCCCCGGGTGGGGGTGCCGTAGGGGGAGCTGCCAAAAGCACGAGGCTTCGACTACACGGTTCTCCACCCGGAGGGACACGGTGCCGCCCTGCACTGCCTTGCACACGTACAAGCGCACGCTGAGGGTTGTCCTCACACTTCGGACCAAAGTGACACGACAGAGAAGCTGTACCGCCCCTCGCAGGGGTTAAAGTGCTTCAGTGGTCTGAGGCCGGGCAAGCGAGCAGGGGGGTCCCCTGGCCGCCTGTCCCGACCTCACAGGTCCGTGTTCAGCCTGGGAGCCCAGCCCATCCATGACCACCCCACGGAGTCTCTATCCCAAAGGCAAAAGAAACAAGATCCAAAAATCAGAAGGGTCAGAGCCCAGGGGGAAGGGGCCGGGGTGGGCAGGTCCCACCCCAACCCCACTACAAGCTACTTCAAGTCAGCTACTGGGGGGAGAGAGGGGAGAACCGGGGCCCAGAGGCCCCACCCCTGTCTCGGGCAGTCTCCAGAGGCTCCTCCGCCTTCAGCCACACTGCGTGCGTGGGCTCCTGTCCCTCTCCCGCCATCCATCTGCGCAGGGGAAGGAGCTGCCCCCTCAGTATTTATTGATTCCGAAGATCCGGACTCCATGGAGCTGCGGCAGCTTGGGGATGAGCACGCTCATCAAAGACACGGTGTTGAGGATGAAATGGATCTGGTCGTACTTGGTGTAGAAGCTGGTGAGGAAGTACCTGGCGGAAAAGGTGAGGGAGAGGCGTAAGGCTCCGCCTGGAGGACCCCCTCTCCTCCCTCTCTCCCTGGGCGAGGAGAGGCAAATTCTCCACAGCTGAGAAGCTATGGGAAAGGCCCCCAAGCAGATATAGGTGGCAACATCTGCCCGGAAAGAGACACCCTCCCGGCCCAGTCCCCTTGCTCTACCTCCCGCCTGTGGGCCTACCCCACCGGCGGGAAGGAAGCCCCTGCTGAAGAAAACTCGGCCGGGGGGCATGAAGCCCGAGCCCAGCACGTGGCCAGAGGTGCTCCACCTTCCCTTCCTGTCCTCGCTCCTACGCCAAGAGCCAAACTGGGGAGGCATCTAGGCCTGGGGGGGCCTCAGGGCGCCCCGGGCCGTGGCCTGCCTGCTGGCGTCCTCCCTCCTGGCGTCCTCCCTCCGCCCAAGGCACTCACAGCACGATGGGTGTGATGGTCAGGAACTTCCGAGACGCCGTGAACTGAACCCCGTAGTCCATCTGCTCCCAGTGGGTCAGCAGCCTGGCCTTGCCCTGGTCCGGGGTCTCGAAGGGCGTGCCCTTCACTGTGTGCAGGAAGATGTACATGCCCTGGGAGGAGGGGCCTTCATTAGAGCACGCAAAAGGCCCTCCCGCTCAGCTCCTCCGCCTGGTCCCAGAAGCGGGCTCCGGGTGGTGCGGAGCCTCCCTCTGGCTGGCAGAGGCACGCGGGCTGGAGGTCAGGCCTGACCAAGGAGACACACGGGAGCAGGCAGTGGAGAACCGCCCTCCAGCCGCACGGTAGCCTCCCTGTGCCAGCTGGGAGGGGGCAGGCTGACGGGAAGGAACCAGGCCCCTGCCTGCCCACCGAGAGAGCGTGGGTAGCAAGCAGGTGGTGAAGGAGCAGAGAGGCGAGAGTCAAAGGTGGTTTGGGATCCTAACTGGGGAAAAGGGCGTTTCTGTGCCAGGCTAGGCACCTGAGTCCTGGGAACGCTCTGGGACCCCTCGTTCAGCTCGCAGTGGCTCATCTCCCAGGTCCACAAGCTACCCCACCCTGGACAGATAAGGGCAAATCTGCCGATTTTAGTCCTCTTCCTGGAGGGCACAGGGCTGGAACCCAGAAAGGGGAGTAGGGCGGAGAGGAGAGCTGGGTCCGGACTCTGGTGACAGATGCTGTCAGCACGTCCCCCCTGACTCCTCACCCACGCCTGGGGGGCTCCTCCTACTCCTCAGGCCCACCAGGGCGGCCCGCACGGTCAGGGCGGGCAGCAGACGGGCCCTCACCATGTTGTGGATGAGGTTGGTGAGGGTCCAGACCACGGGGACGCTCACGAAGGGGATGCTGAGCAGCACGACGTGCAGCAGCCCGATGGCCAGCACGTAGGAGAGCCAGATGCCGCGGCTGTTCATCACCCGGGTGTTGGGGTTCACCTCACTGTGAGCCGTGCCCACGTTCATCCTGCCGCCCCTCCGCTGCCGCTGCTCTGCAAACAAGCAGCACAGGTGAGACAGGTCGCGCCACTTTCCCTGCCCCCTCACACCCTCCACATCCTGCGGGAGGGAGGTTCTGCTCTCCCCAGGAACTCCGGCCAGTTCTGCTGTTTTGATTCACACACAGAGAGGCCAGAGCATGTCCACGTGGACTGAACTCTATTCACTTCCCAGTGCTGGGCCGGGAGAAACACCACACATCACCCAATCGGAACAGTGCCCTTCCAGGCCAACTGCCTGGGTGTACAGATCAAGAAGCTTCCAGCCCCAGAGCAAAGAAACCATGGCCCCTCCTCCAGTCTCCTCCTCCAGGGCATTCCCAGCAGTGCCCTCTGCCCAGAAAGCCCAGGGAAGGGGAGAAGAGGCCCGTCCTCTAAGAAACACTCAGCATAACCCCTGCAGGATGGTCTCACTGAGGACTGATATAAGACATCTGCCCCTCCCCTGCGTTCCCCATCAGAAGGAATAAAAGGAGGTGGCACCTGCTAGGAGAGCAGCGGATGAAGTGTTCGGCGGGGTCATTGCTTCTACCCACCTCCCCTAGTTCTCCAGTCCTGGGTCTGCACCCATACAGACCCAGGAGGACGGAGGACAGGAGGAGGGAGGGAGGGAAGAAACGAGAAAACAACGCGCTAGGACAACCTTTGCTCCGACCTGGAAGCCTCCCTCTTAGTGACAAAAAAACAACCAATCCAGATGTTTTATCCAATTGGCAACAATTCTGGCTAACCCTCGTGATGCCACCTACTCTGCTGCCAAACCACCAGGGCCCTTTCCCCACCAGAGGAGAGGTGAGGGCAGAGAACACGGCCAACATCTACAGCTCCCTCGGTAGCTGGAGCCCAAATCAACACACTCCTCCCGAGGTCACAGAACCATACCTGTGGCCTCCCTCTGTGCCCCTTTCCCCGCTGCCCCACTCACCCTCACCTCCGTCTCCTTTCCCAGCACCTGTTTCCAGGGGTCAGTAGCACCATGACTTCCCCTGCCCATCTCCCACGGCGGAAACATGCAGCATGAGGCACGAGAACTGCCCTTGATGCCCAGGAAACAATGCAACCCAGGTGCATTCCTGGATGCAGGCAAGGGAGGGTTGTGCAGTCCCTTGTCCAGAGCTTGGCTGCCCCCAGATCCCTAAGGGCCCTGTGACCAGCAGGAGCTGGGAACAGATGGTGCCTTTGTACTGGCTCGCCTCCTGAGCTGAGGGAAGGTCTTCCATGACAAAGACCCTAATAGGTCATCACCATGGTAACAACCCCATCTTTCCTAGGAACACAGAAAGGGGTCCCAGATGGAGGTATCCCAAAAGGCCACCTCCCTCACCCTGCTGCAACGAACCCCCTCAGACTCAGTTGCTACTTGTCTCTGACGAGGATCACAGCCAAACCTGTGCGGGCACCAGAATTCTCGAGAACCAGTTCCTTAGTTCCAGGATGGTGGCAACAAGTGTGCTCTTCTCAGACAGCTCGATGGTCAGGGACCTCAGAGGAAACGTGGCACACGCCACACTCCCCCAACACACAAACACACGTGAGATGACCCAGGGTGCACCCTAGAAGGGATGCTCTTGGGGCCCATCAGCTCAGCCCATTACGCTGGATAATTGGGCCCAACCGAAACCCAGGGCACTAGGAAACCGGGACTGGCTCCATTGTTTACCTTCCCAGGGGCTTCAGTTACACTCACACAGCTCCTGGGAACCTACTATGCAAAAGCCTCCACCTCAGGGTGCGGGGCAGGGAGGGGGGCGCTGGCTAGGAACTGAGGGCTCTGCAGGACTTACTACTGAGTAAGGAGAGAGAAACTGTTCCCCTGGTTGACCAGAAGCTGCTGCCTGTCCCCACTTCTCCCTAACCTAGACGTGCAGAGGGTAGAAGCAGAGACCTCCAGCGCTCCCTGGTATTTTGTCCAGGAGTACCAGGAGCCTTGCTGAACCCCAGATCCTTCCACCCTCCTTCCTGACTGAAACAGGCACCCAAGGAAGCCCAATGAGTCCAGGAGGAGCCTACACTTAGGATCTGCCGCCCCGCAAAGCTCCTTCCTGAGCCTGAACACTAATTGACCTGAGAGCAGAAATCCCGAGAGACACCTCCCTCCACCCCCAAAGAGACAGACCAGATCAATAAACTAAGAAAAAGATCGGCATCCAGAAAGCACTCTTGAGCTTTTGTGTGACTAAGGGTACATTTCACTTCCATTAGTAAAATAACCCACTGCCCCTCACTCGGGAGAGACCCGCGGAGAAGCAGCTGGCAGAGGTAAAGCAAGTCTACAGCAGCCGGGGCTGAAAAGTTCTCAGGCCGTAAGCTGGCGGGCGGCTGCCTGTGCCAGTCCCTGATGTGGTTTCATAACCTGCCTCAAACCAGAGCCTGCAGCTACTCTGTTCTGTTAACTACTTTCTTGCTGGTAGCTCTCTCCTACTCCTACCCTCCCTTCCCCCTGACTCCACGCACAAATATCCCTGCCCAGCGTGTCTGTTAGACACCTAAGCCAAAGCCACAGTGCGTTCCAGGCCACATTGGGCAGTCCCAGGGCAGCAGCCAGGTGAGCGATTATCATTCTCTCCCCCAAACAGAGTCAGCCCTTTAAGCGACGAACCTTTTCCCCTCTGGGTGACGGGCACGAAACAGCCAAGCCTGCAACTGGACCCCAACGTGGAGTCCCTGGCAGCAGGCCACAATGCCATTTTCATTCTGTCCACCTCTCGAACTGCTGGGCCACGGTAGTTGACCTCTTAGCTCTGGCCCTGCCTCCTGGACTCCAGAAGGCGGTGGAAATGGAGAGAAGGCCAGTTATGGGGAGAACCCCCACCAGCCAGAGAAAAAGGTGAAGCGAAGAGACCAAGTCCTCAGTACTGTTGGGGTTTTGTGAGTGAGACCTCAAGCCGAAAGGAAGCCGAAGGGGAGCAATCTCGCACTCGGAGACTGGCCAGGTCCGGGGCCTCAACCCCACCTCCACGCGTTCACCCAGCCCTGGAAGCGGCCAACCTTCCCCCAACCCCCAAAGCCAAGCCGCTCCCAGCCCCTCACCCCCAGCCCGAGCTCGAGCTATCCCCCTGACGCTCCACCTCCCGCCTCCGATCTAATTTACCCCTTCGGGTATCCCTCCGACCGACGCACGCCCCCACCTCCGCTCACCATGCCCTGGTGCCCTCCAGCCTGGGGCGCCTCCCCTGCAGCTCCCACCTCCATTCTCGCCCCACCTCTAGCCCTAGGAGATCCCTGTTCGCCCAACAAGAGCCCGCTCGTTCGGACTCACCGTGCGGTTCCGGAGGTCTAGGGCCCTCGAGGGCCCGGGAGAGGTGCCCGGAGGCGGGGGCCGCTGCAGCTAAAGCAGCTGTAACAACGCGCGGCGGTAGCCACCCCGCTGGCAGCTCCGGCCGAATCAGCGCCCCGCGCCGGCCCCCATGACGTCACCTTCCAGCGCCAGTCTGCCCTATGCCTCCTGGGAGTTGTAGTTTCTCCCCACCCACGGTCAGGCCCGCCCGCCGCCTCCTGGGACTTGTAGTTGCCCCCTTCCTCCCCCGCACCCCTCCACCCCACACACTCACACCGCACCCGTGCGCCCTACTCCGCCCCAGGGCTCACTGGGCCTCTCGGAAGTTTCAATAGGATCTGTTACTGTCAGATAGTATTGCTTTGGTGCGTAGCAACTACTTTGGCATCCTCACGCCCTACAAGTACAGTGTACACTTGCCCCATTTTGCAGATGAGGAAACTTAGAGTTTTAATGAACTTGCTATAGGTCCCTGCTGTGTCCCAACTTGGGCCGGAACCCAGAATTTGACCTCAGGTCAGAGTTTTTCAATTTCACCTCGCTGCCTCCACCCTGGCCCCGGAGTGGCTCCTGAATACGACTAGCCCAGCCATTTGTCCTTTGGAAGCGGGCTTTCCCGAAGATGGTAACAATGAGAGTTTGGAGAACAGAGAAAGTGGACTGTGGGCAGCATTTGTCCAGAGCCTTTTTACTCAGTTACACCTGAGTCAGGCCAGCCTGGGCCAGGCCACATCCTTGGCCTTCCCACATGAAACGTGAGAAGAGGATGCATGTCTTCGGAAGATCCCTCGAAGAATAGTTAGGACCCTGAATTCCAGTCCCAGGTCAGCATGTGGTGGCTCCGGTGGGGAGCTCCACCTCTCTGGTCTGCAGCTTTCCAGTCGCGTTCTCTAAAGGCAAGGGCACAGATTTTACTGCCGGGTAGAGGTAGCAGACGCTCCTTTGCCAGCAAATAACTCGTCTCAGTCTCTAGCTCCACTCTTGTGAAACCCCACCTCCAAGGTTGTGCGAATTCAGAAGGACGTGTATAAAGCACCTGTGGCATCGTAGGAAGCTATTTCAGTAAGAGGCTAAACTAAATGGCTCTTGAGTTCTCCTGAGTCACCAAGAGGGCCTCGTCTGAGTAGTTTCCATTGGCCCCACCCAGTTTCTCTCTAAGTCCACTCCGTGCGTGGCGGGGCTGGACTAGCAGGATTAGATGATGTCATGACACGCCAAACTGAGTGGCTGTAAACACACACGGAAATGGATGTCAGGGGATAGAAGTGAGAAGGCTGGCCCAGGGAGCCTGGGGAACACCCCTTTCGGACCTGCCTCCCCACCCCCCCAAGAGGGCTGCCAGGAAACAGATGTCTCAAACCTAGAGTGGGGCCCTGGGGGGCATCTAGTGGACACCAAGCAAGGGGATATCTGAAGCGCTCAGAGCAGGAGAACAGGCAGCTTCTCGAATATTTCCGGTGTCAGTGGCCCTAGACTGAATAATCACCCCAGAACCTGAAAAAGTTCTTCCTTGTGTCCTACAGAAGTTTCTCCCAGTTCAAAGAGGCCCCCTATAGGCAGCCTTGTGAAGACATAAGCAAAGCAAACAGCTGAGTGTTGTCCTTCCCACAGACACTTCCACGGCATTGAAACAGGGGGTGGGGGAGAAATCTCTCTTTTTTTCCAAAGTGAGCCTCCTTGAGTCCTTTGACTTCTCTCTGGGATCCTTCCATCCTCCATCAAGTTGATGGAGCTGTCTGGATCCTTCCCAGTTTCCTCACGTCTCCGTGGAGTTCACTGACCCAGACTGGATCCACATCTCAAATAAGGTTCTGACTAATGCAGTCTAACGGAGAGAGCGCTGGCCAAGCCGTGCCCTATTAATAACTCCTGTTATCGAGGGTTTGTTTCTTTTTCCACGGCTGGGAATGAACGGAGTTCTGACTCACTCTGGGTTGGTGGTAAATCGTGGATCACTTTCTGCTTAATGAAGCCTGAGTCCCTGTCATCGCCCTTCTCTTTCTCTAGCTCTCTGCCCTCATAATCACCATGTCTTCCCCAGACATCCTTGAGCCGTGAGCACACCTGAGTACGGTTCAGAATGAGGGGCAGCAGCCCGGTGCAGTGCTGGGGAACACACAGCCCCTTGGACGAGCCATTGGGAATAGGTGCCAAGAGGCTGAAAATCATCTGGGCCCCAGATCCGTGAGTGCATTTCTGGCAGCGTAGTTCCGGGAAGTGCACCTGTGTACCTAACTATTTGTGAGGATGTTCGTTCCAGCATTAATTACGATAGTGGAAAACCAAAAGCAATCTAAATGCCCAAGAAAAAAATATTATGGTCTAGCCACTGGATGGAATAGTATGAAGCCATAGAGTAA